GCTCATACATATACATTCCGCTGCCCATTGGCTCACAGTTGTTTTACCATATTGAGACAAGACAAGCTCTCCTTGCGTAGCAAGACAAAACAACTACTGTCCGTGTGCAGGGCGCTGCCCTTTGATCCTTAGGGAATAACTGGTCATACACCTCCTAACAAGGAGTATTCCTTGTGGGTGTATCGGCACAAGGGGGGAGGGGAGGGAGGGAGGGGGGAGGGAGGGGAGGGAGGGAGGGAGGGGGAGGGAGGGGGGTGGAAGGGGGAGGGAGGACGGGGAGGGAGAGGGAGAAGGAGAGGGAGAGGGAGAGGGGAGATGGGAGAGGGGAGAGGGGAGAGGGGAGAGGGGAGAGGGAAGAGGGAAGAGGGAAGAGGGAAGAGGGAAGAGGGAGAGGCAAAGGGAGAGGGAGAGGCAGAGGGAGAGGCGGCGAGGGCGAGGGCGAGGGAGAGGGAGAGGGAAAGAGGAAGAGGGAGAGCGAGAGAAAGGGAGGAAATGGGGGGAAAGGAAAGCAGGGAGGAAGGGAAGAAGAAGGCAAGGGCGCCAAAAAAGAAGAAGGCAAAAACGCAAGCAAACGAACAAACAAGCAAGCAACCAAGAACTCGAGGAAACAAAGGGAAGAAATATATAAGGAAAGTCAATAAGCACAAAGCAGCAGCAACACAAGGAATAACGGCAAACAGAATAGATATGTAGATGTGCCTGTGTGTATGCGTGTATATACCTCTACTCCGGTCAGACACCTGAAAGGTGAGCCGGCACTTACAAGGAATAGCGGATTACAAAAACAGATATGTATATGTGCATATGTGTATGCATCTATACTCCTCTACTCCGGTCAAGTACTTGAAATTCCAGTCAGATACCTGCAAGGTGAGCCGGCGCGCACAAGGAATAGCGTCTTTTCGACAGATATGTATATGTGCATATGTGTCTGCGTCCATACTCCTCTACCCCTGTCAGGTAGTTGAAAAGTGAGCCGTTCTCGCCCAAGGGCCCTTATCAACGGAGAGCCAAGGCTTGCGGTATGAATGTATACAACGGTTTAGGGTTTAGGGTTTAGGGCGAAGGGTGAGGGATCAAAAAAAAATTAAATTTCCTTACAATTTCACATTTAGGACGGATTTCCTGTTGTAGCTGTTGCTGGTATTCCGCTTCATCATCTATCTTAAACACGCCCTCATTTGGCGATTCTGGTTCAGCATGTATCTACAAGGGCGGAGACGCCCTCATTTGCTGGGTTTCAAGAAAAAGGCATATGCTTCAAAGCAACCCTGCACGGCTTAAAACAGCGGGGGGGCTGGGGGGGGCGCAGCCCCCCCCATTTGCAGAGACAACGTTCACATGATGGGCTTCGACAACACTCTTTGAATCAAGCTTGCACGTCTCGAAAAGCCCGGCGACGGGTGTTTTGTTCTTCCGTGCCTGTTCGTGTCTCTTCTTCCGTTAGCATTCTAACCTAATTAATATATATATATATATATATATATATATAACATAGTAAACCAGAAGAACGACATAAGATGGTTCGACAACACAAAAATATACAAAAATGGTGTGACATTATGGTAAATTCGATTGGACTATGTAGTATCCTGTTGCTTGTATCTTTGTTTCTGTGATTCTTTCATATTCTTTCTCTTTCGTCTTTTCCAACTTTGCTTTTTTATTCTGGACTTCTTTCTTTCTTTCGCTCGTTCATTTCTTTTCTTTCTTTCTGTTGTTCTTTCTTTGTTCATCTGATACTCGCTTCCTTTCTTTCTTGCTTTCTTTCTGGTTTGATTTACTTCGTTCTTTCTTTGGTTTGTTCTTTCTTTCGTTCTTGCTTTCGTTCTTGCATTCGTTTTTGCTTTCGTTATTTCGTTCTCTCTCTCTCGTTCTATCTTTCTTTCTTTCTGTTTTCCTTTCTTTCGTCCTCTTTAGATACAGCAATTTTTGAATTTTTCCCAGGGGAAACACTGTTTTCATACGGATTCGTTTTCATTTCCTGAGGATTTGCTTGCTTTTTGCTCGGGAAAACACGATTTTCCTACGGATTCCGTGGTATTTCCTTAAGTTTGTTTCTTTAGTTCTTGCTTTCGTTCTTCCTCTTGTTGTTGCTTTCGTTCTTTCGTTCTCTCTCTCGTTCTTTCTTTCTTTCTGTCTTTCTTTCTTGCTTTTTAAATACAGCAATTCTTGAATTTTCCAAGGGGAAACACTGCTTTCCTAGGGGTTTTCTTTCGTTTCCTAAGGATTTGCTTGGTTTTTCCTGGGGAAAACACGATTTTCCTACGACTATTTCTGTTTTTCTTTTTTAATTTATGGCCTTCCGTCTTTCTTTATTTCTCTGTTTTTGTTCTTTGGTTATTTATTCATTGTTTGTTTTGTTTTTGTTTCTAACTCTCTTTGGTTCTTTCCTTGTGTTTTCTTTTTTCTTTCCTTATAGCTTTCTTTATTTACTTAGTTCTCTATTTTTGTTTTCTTTCTTTACTTATAGCTTTCTTTATTTACTTATTTCTCTATTTCTTGCATGGCTTTCTTTCTGTCTTTCTTTATTTCTTTCTTTCTTTCTTTTGTTCTTTATTTCTTTCTTTCGTTGTTTCTTTATTTCTTTATTTCGTTCTTTCTTTCGTTATTTCTTTCTTCCTTGCTTTCTTTCTTCCTTCCTTTCTTTCTTTATTTCTTTCGTTCTTTCTTTCTTTCCTTCTCTCTCTCTCTCTCTCTGTCTTTCTTTCCTTCCTTTTTCCCCTTCCTTTCGCGGATACCCGTTTATTTTTTTTGATCCTTATTTAACTTTTTTTGATCCTTATTTTTTTTTTAACCCCTATCCCACCCTAAACCCATGAACCAAGACCCTAAACCCGGCAAAGAGTCCTGATGGGCGGCCTCTGTCGAGACCTCCATCGCCGCGACCCTTCACAATAGAACAGGGAGGCAAGATCAAACATCGCCGTCACTGTCTTCCACGAAGACCCGACGCTGGGTAAGTTCCTCTGAGCTGGAGCGCGGAAAAGAAAAGCGAGAGCGCTTCATGCACGACATAAGCCATGTGCTGCGCTTGGATGGGGTGCTCTTCGCAGTAGAATCAACTGCAGTGAGTTGGGCAGATCTGCGTGGTGGCAACATGAGAATTCACAGCTGTATGGCTGCCCAGCCCGGAAATGGAGTAAGCCAACCCCCACTCCACATGACACCTCCTCCAGCAGGAACCCATGAAACAAAACCCCAAAACCCTCTGAACAAGGAGCCAAGATCAAACATCCCCGTCACTGTCTTCCAGGATGATCCTGAGAAACGACATAATTATGCCAAGGACATGACACCTCCTCCAACAGGAACCCATGAACCAAGACCCGTAAACCCTGCAAAAAGTCCTGATAGGCGGCCTCTGCAGAGACCTCCCTCGCCGCGACCTTTCACAGTAGAACACGGAGGCAAGATCAAACATCGCCGTCACCCATGGCCTTGCGCTTGGCCGTGAGGGCGTGGGAGAGCTTCGTCGCACAAGTTTCGCACAACTTGACGGTCCTGCCAAGAGGGCAAAAAATGCAAGGTCAAATGTGTCAGCAAGAAGCTGTTGTCCTGACTCCAACGCAAGCTAACAGGTAACGTGCAGACCCGATGCAAACAAGGTCGACCCCCACCGCCTCGGAAGTGGCTTCTTCGCGGCTGCTCTCGCCGCCTCCAACAGGCTTTCCTTCTTGAGTTCGCGGAGAGGGCGCGTTCGAGCGCACAGCTGGCATTTCGCGGCTCGCTTCACCATGATGAAGGCTTGCAGACCTACAACTAGGAGAATGCTTGCGCACTGGCTGGCTGTAGCTTGGAGCTTTGTCTCTGCGTGTATGTTGATTCGTGTCGTGCGAGGTCCTGCTTGTGGCACAGATGGCGCAGCATTTCCTCATCTGTGTTATACATTGATCTGCTAGTATGGTCAACATGAACTGAGCCCCTTGACTACGTAGCTGCCCTGCTGTGGTAAAACGGCAGGCACGAGTTCAGCGATAGCGTCGACTCGACTGCGCAGCTCCGGCAGCAAGGTGACATGCGCAGCGTCCCGGCCCGACGCAGTCCGTCACAGCCTTTCTTACTCACGCGCTTTACTCGTTCTGTCGTATGTAGACATGCCAGGTGTGTGATTACAGGCCTGTGTAAGGGCTTCATTACTGTTACTATTACTATTACTATTACTATTACTCTTACTCTTACTCTTACTCTTACTCTTACTCTTACTCTTACTCATACTGTTACTATTACTATTACTATCACTATTACTACTACTATTACTATTACTATTACTATTACTATTACTATTACTATTACTATTACTATTACTATTACTATTACTATTACTATTACTATTACTAGTACTAGTACTAGTACTAGTACTAGTACTAGTACTAGTACTAGTACTATTACTATTACTATTACAATTACTATTACTGAAAGCGGAGCGCAAAGCAAACGCAGAAAACAAAAAGCAACAAGCAAAAAACATAAAACAACAGAAAGCAACAGCAAAAAACACAAAAAACAAAAAGTAAAGAGAGCAGGAAGCAGCAGAAAGCGGAGCGCAAAGCAAAAGCAGAAAACAAAAAGCAACAAGCAAAAAACAAAAACAACAGAAGGCAGAAGCAAACACACACAAAAACAAAAAAAAATCACCAAAAAAAACAAAATAAATTCCTCAAATAATTAGGATTCCCCCTCCGGGGGTTCGGACCATCAGGCTGAGGTTCTGGGCTTGGGGTTGGTAGAACTTGCGGTTTGAGGCTTTCTTGTGTTGTGGTGGACACTTGTTGCTCCTGCATGTATGTCTTCAGTGGCCTCTGAAAGTGGTTTCGAAGAGGATGCCCTGAAGCCCCTGCATCAACACGCGGATCCTCGCAGTCCCCCGACCTGCTTGACAGTGGGTGAGTATCCCACTCTTTACATGCTCTGAGTGATCATTTCAATCCACTTTCGTTGATATGTGTCACTGCAGCCTAGGACAGCAACCCGAGGCTGGACTTCAGATAGCCGGGCACTTGCGGCCAATCTTCTGGCACATCTTCTCGAGCCTGTCGAGCATTACCAGGTGGTGACCTAGGCATGGAGTGTTCAAGCCCCAGGCCTGTGGCACAGACATGTAATCAGTGCTACTTTCACCGCTGCTGTTTTCCGAAGCCCCGAGGGCCCGAATCCTGGGGCGGCAGCCGAAGACCACGATCTTGCGATCAGTATCAGAGCGTTCCAGGATGCTCTGTACCTGTACGGTCTAGTGTTTGAAGGCAAAGCGCCGGACGCACGCCACCCGTGGTTGGGCTGCTTCCAAGTTTCTATGAAAGGCGGGCTCCATGTTCGACGGCGGAGGGCTTCGAATCCACGATTAATAGCAGGAACATGTTCCGAGAACCAGGGTTTGGAAGGTCTTGTAATGGCTCCCCCCACCCTGAGCTCTCACCAAATCAAACCCTGAATGCTGAACTGAACCCTCAATCCCGGACCCTGAAACTGGACTGGAGGGATTTGGCTGCGGGCTTCGTCGCCAACAATACAAGAGAACAGATCGACATCTGGTCCAGATGTAGAAACATGACACAAGCGGCCATGCAACCCTGTAAAAGAACATGAAGCCAATGTAAACAGCAGACAGCTACTCAACAGCGGATATAGTAATACCCCAATACGGTATGGATGATCACTCAAACACGCATGACGACAGAGTACTTACGAATACGAAGCAGATTAAACTATCGAAGCACCAAGCGATTACACGCGGGAAGAAGCGGATCCAGCTACTCAACCAACATGGGATCAGAAGGAACACAGCAACAGAAGCACTTCGAACGTAACAACTGTAAGAAACCAGGGATACGAGAATCAAGCAAGTGAGCAGAACCTAACCTTTCCAGTGAAGCAAGGCTGCGTCTAGAGTCTAGGGTACCAGGTACCAGTAGCACACAAAGCCATCCCCAACCGAAAGCCCCAAAGCTTTCAGCACGGCGCTCTGAACACTCAATCGCGAGAGCTAATCCCTACAACCTGTTAAGCAAGGGATTTACATAATCTGATTCAAGAGTGTCTGAGTCCAGGGCATACTCAGTGACGGGTCCGGCCTTCGCCTGGCTTTCAGGTTCCAGCGAATTGTGTCAGGGCCGGGCCGCTGGCGTTCTGGCTTCTTGGCGTACTTCGGGGGGTTCAATGTCAGGGCTGAGGCTTTTGCTCCTTTTCCCGACACATCCGCCAGGTCTCTGCCAAAAGGCCGACGTGGGCCAGGATATGGGCTTGAGCTTTAAGAACCAGCACCAGCTTGCTACTGCTCCTTTCAAAACTAGCCCTGCCTCAACGCTCCAAGCCCTCAACCTTCCAGCCTCGTCTGTAGGTGCTTAGCTCACCCCTGCCCTCCGCTTATTTCCCCCCATGATGCGGCCTCGGCGGTCTTGGCAAAGATGCGCACAGGCAAGGACTGCTTCATCCGCGCGCTTTTGGACTTGCCGACAGCGATCTTCAGGCCCTCGGAGAGCTTCGGGATTTAAATTCAACCGCCTTGAGTTTCAGTCTTGGAATTTGTATAGGCCCGAAAACTGACCTGGGATCTTGAAACCCAACGTCCTGCAGACACTAAACTCCGGGCGGCCCTATACCCGACCATTCTTGGGCCTGAGAAGTGAGCCTTGGAGAGTCGAAACCGCAGGGCAGAAGTCCCAGTATCTTTGGGCTGATTAAGGGCTCCTTGCTGAGATCGCTGCGCCTGCTTTGACATATTGTGTCTTTAGAGCGAAGGACTTGGTGCGACCTAGGTCCTAGGTGTTAACGACAGCCTTCAAAGATACTCCTGCTGGATTTCGACTCGCCGCATGCAAGAACCTTTGTTGTCACAACAACGGAGGTGCAGCTATTGAACCAACAGCTACATTGACACGGGAACCGCCACCTGTCATCTTCATCGGCATCGTCGCAACTAGCCGTCACCGCTGTTGACATCGGCATGAGTTTATCAATCTCAGTATCACGACCACCACTCTGACCACCACAGGCTCCATTATCGTCGTCCTGATGGTCATCATGTGTTGCATCATGGTACCATGGTCGGTCATCACCATCACCACATCAGCTCCAGCATTGTCGAATGGCATCATTGCAAATGTCACCATGCTGATTACAGCACCGTTGAAAATAACGCATTGGAGCGCATAAGCAGATTGCTTGTGACAGCAATGCGTTGAATAACCTTTGCACATACTTGCGGCTTGTGCAAGGAACTGGCTTAGTCAGCACACAGATGCCGCTCCATTCCATCGCACGGAAATGTCTCTTTGCTACTTTGCTGTCTGTAGTGCCATAAACTTTCTACTTAATTTTTCGCTGTTGCTTTACTTAGCTTGCTACTGGTAGCTCTTCACTGGCCAGTTGCGAAACCTCTCAATTTAACCCCGCAGGAAACAGTCAACATGTTGGTTAAGCATATGACATTGCCACAATGCGACAAGCAACTTTAGCCACCGCGGCCACCAAGATTTGGCACTGTGAACCCAGCCATGACTT